TTGATAAATTTATTGATTATTAAGAATAATATTTGTAAACGATTTCTTCATTACTATCTGTGATTTGAATTACTCTCAAATTATGACATTTCCTTATTATTGTCTTCAAACCCAATGTCATGTATCGTAGGTTTTCGGTCGTATGTGTTATCGACAGTATCTTGAGGTGTGAAAGTGTGGCCAATTTCTCCAACCATAAGCTGTTTATACGTCCCTTTGGATCATATATTATCAATGATTGTAGTTTTGGTAGATTTATCTCAATTTGTTGAAACAATTGGTATTTCAAATCACATGAGTAGAGCTGTAAACGAGTTAAATGTGGCCATCCTTTCATCGACTCAAATATACCCTCGGTTTCGTTGAAAGGAAACGAATGACAACCAAAACAAAACTCTTTTAAATGTGGCATAAATTGAATGCTTTTGAGTATTTCAGTCCTGTATTCGCTGTAATGATTGCAATGAAATACAAATATCTTTAATTGTCCGCACATTTGGCCGATTGTCTTAAGAAATTCAAATAGAGAGTACTCTAAAACATGTGTTTCATTGATAATAATGAGTAGTTGTCTGAGTTGTGCTAAACGAGACAATTGAGCCATCATTTCGCGGACATTATGTGTGGATTCAATGGTGCCATCGATGGTCAAAGTTAGTGATCTAAGAGTTCTATTGTTATCGATGAATGTCGAAAGTCTATTCCCCGAAATCGATATATCATATGCGGTAAATGCCTTGAGATTCCTAACCAATAACTGGCCGTTCGGTGAAAACATTTTACTCATATAACAACTAATTGATGTCAATTTGTGGCACTCATTGATATACTTGATGTGATCGCAATCGGATAGTATACGCAAATGAGTGATGAATGAGCCAAACGTTGTGAACACAAATTGTGCCAAATTCTGGTCCAACTTTTTGTTATTGAATTTAATTTCCCGTAAATACCGATAATTGGTCTTCAATTTGGCCATCAATTTGAACACAACTCGAGTCGTGTTTTGATCGCAAAGAATATCAATACTCTGAATGTTTGGGCACTTCTTAAACACTGAAGTCATAAAGAGTTTTCCGTTTGGTTTCACACAAAACATCTCGTATTTTGCGGTTTCGGTGGCAATCATTTTGAGGACCATTTGGTCGTCGATAACGATCTCATCGATGGTCTCGTATATCAATCGCTGCCATTGTTTGGACACTCCTTCGAATCGGAACCGATCTTCAAATGTCAGATACGACAGCAATAGTTGGCACAAATCGTCTCCATATCTATCCATTGAATCCTTTGCGTATACTTTGAACTATAAGTAACAAAAATATTATTTAGAAATGAATTTAATGTTTAATATTACTTCTAATTACCTGTGGATTGCTTTCAATGGCATTCTTGTGGATGACTTCATTCCTCCTCTGCCTTCTTTGTCCGCAGATATATCTGAAACATTCACACAAACGGGACATCACTTTGATATGAAATGCCTGTGATTTGTGTATTTAATTGAAGACTATATTTTCTAATAGTTTAACGGTTTTTATTAATGTAATGAATTCTTTAATGCAATGAATTCTGTAGTAATTGTTTTATAGTTTTCCAATTATTTTAGTTAAAAACAATTTCACGCAAATTGTGTGAAACTAATTGTTTGTATTTACCGATGATTTTGTTTTAAAACATATTTAATTATCGTTTACTGTACATAAAGTTGGCAAAAATTTTCTGGTTTTTTTTAAAAGGTTTACATTTACACTATTTTAGGTTATGTTAGACTTGGGTTTAGTTTGACTGCAGTTTCAAAGAAATTACAATTAAAAAATAATTGCAATTATTATGCAATTAAAACATTAGTTATTAACTAATTTATTTATTTAAAATTCTCTATTTTGATGTCTTTGAGAACACTTTTTTATTTGCGTTATTTTTAATCAAAACGTCAATCGTTTTCACTATTAAAATAAATATAAAAATCATTTAAAATTCACACAAAAAAGTAAATCAAAATCCAATACTTTTTCGGTAGACATTGAGGACAACAAATGTGATTAAAATAGAGGTAATTGTAATTAATATAAACAATATTGCGGTCAATACAGTCATATGAGTGGATGCCGTGAAATTAAATGTCATGCCATCGGATGTGGTATTATTTGTGGACATATTTTATGAGATAAATTTTAATATTACTTTTGGATTTAAATAATTGCAAATTAACAGTTGAATCATAATGTAATCGTTGTTAGCAATCAGTAAAATAATTCAAATTTTTGCATTCAATCTCAATAATAAAAATTTGCGTTAGTTATAAAATGTGAATTTATTGTGATTTCAACATTTTATGCTTTATTTATTTTAAAATTAAGTGAATTTAAATACATTGTATCTTAAAATTATTGCACATTTTAATTAATTGTAATGTTGGAAATTAAAACTTATTATTTTCTAACGGCTGTTTAACACAATTATATGTCTAATTAATGATTACAATAACTTTAATAATTCAAACATAATTTCACGCAAACATCTCTTTGTTTCTCTAATATTTAATTTTTATCGATTAAATATTATATTTTTTCATTAAATTAAACTTAACCATTAAATAATTTTAAACTTAATACAAGCAATGCAAAAATTTTACACTAATTATATAATAAATTATAATTATTAAAATTTGATTATTTGTAACATTTTTATTGGCATTAGTTTTAATCAAATCGTCAATTGTTACAATACACTTGTGTGATTAAAATAGAGATTATTGTAATTAATATAAACTAAATTTTAATTCAAGACTTTAAATTACATTAAAAATACAAATAAATATTATATTTAATTCAATTAATAAAATGTCACACAAAACAAAAAGCACGGAATTAGTGAAAATATTTAAAATGTAAATCAAATTTTAATTCAATACAAGTTTGAAATGTAATATTGAAAAATGAGTCCTAAATATTGAATTCAAATGAATAATAAAATATCGAAATATAGAGAAAATAATACGAAACAAATGAAAACTTTTGTCACAATTTTAATGAATTCATTGCTTAAGAATAGTAGTAAATGAGTTCTCCATTTGTGTCTCTGATCTGAATTGAACTCAATTTACGGCACTTTTTTGTGATTGCAGTCAAACCGGATCTCATATTACGTAACTTTTCGGTGGTGTTTGTGATATACAGACTCTTGAGGTGTGAAAGTGTGGCCAAACTCTCCAAACATTTGCTGTTTATGCGTCCCTTTCGATCACATATCGCCAGTCGTTGTAGTTTTGGTAGATTTGTCTCAATTTGTTGAAACAATTGGTAATTAATATCAAGTGAATAGAGATGCAAATGATGTAATTGTGGCCATCCTTTCATCGACTCAAACATACCCTCGCTTTCGGTGATATAAAAAGGACTGCCATTAAAATACAATTGCTTTAAATGTGGCATAAACTCAATGCTTTTGAGTATTTCAGTCCTGTATTCGCTGTATTGAATGCATTTGAATTGAAATGCCTTTAATTGTCCGCACATTTGGCCAATTGTCTTAAGCGAATCGCACAGAGAATACCCCAAAGAATGGGTGTCATTGATGTGAACGGCAAATGTTTTTAGTTGTGATAAACGAGACAACTGTGCCATCATTTTGCGGACAGTATTTGCCGATCCAATGATGCCATCAATTCGGATGACTAGCAGCTGAAGAGACAGATTGTGATCCATAAAAGTCGAAAACCTTTCGTCCGAAATCGAAACCTCCAAATTAGTGGTCAAAGCCTTGAGATTCTTCGTCAATAACTGGCCGTCCGGTGAAAACATTAGATCCAGAAAAGTGGTCGAAAGTGTTGTCAATTTTGGGCACTCATTGATATACTTGATGTGATCGCACTTTGGATTGATGACCATTCGAGTGATCATTGGGCCAAACACTGTGAACACCCATTTCGTCCAAATCGGGTCCAACTCTTGGTTTTTGAATTGAATTTCCCGTAAATTGGGATAATTTCTCTTCAATCCAAACATCAATTTGAACACAACTCGAGTCGCGTCGGCATCGCTGCGAATATCAATGCTTTTAATGTTTGGACACTTATTAAGCATTGATGTCATGAAGAACTCGCCGTTTGGTTTCACAAAAAATATCTTGTATTTTGCGGTTTCGGTGGCAATCATTGTGCTCACCATTTGGTGGTCGACAACGATCTCATCGATGGTCTCGTATAGCACTCGTTGCCACTGTTTCGACACTCCTTCGTATCGGAACCGATCCTCAAACGGCAAATACGACAGCAATAGTTGGCACACATTGTCGTCATATCTATCCATTGAATCCTTTGCTATCGCTTTAGTCTATAATTAAAGGAAAAATCAATTAGAAATGAATTTAATGTTTAATATTACTTCTATTACCTGTGGATTGCTTTCAATGGCATTCTTGTGGATGTCTTCATTCCTCCTCTGCCTTCTTTGTCTGAAGAGATTTCTGGTGTAATCACACAAACGGGACATCACTTTTCGATCGGACTGTGATTTTATAAAATAGATTTATAATGAAATGTTATTAACGACTTTTAATTCAATCAATTGTGTAATAATTTGATATTTAATTTAAAATCTAATTACCTGTCGATTGCTGTGAATAGCATTCCTCTGGTTGTGTCTCCGCATCGGTCTCTCTCTCCAGACATTTGTAACTGATTTACACAAACGATACATAACTTTGAGATCAAACGGTTGTGATTTGTTTAATGCAATCAATTGTGTAGTAATTGTTTTCACAATAAATTCAATTCAATAATAATTTCACGCAAATTGTGTGAAACTAATTGTTTGAATTTAACGCTGAATTTGTTTTAATACACATTTAGTTATAGTTTACTGTATATAACAGTAAAGTTGGCTAAAGTTTTCTGGTTTTTTAAAAAGGGTTTACATTTACAGTATTTTAGATTATGTCAGACTTGGGTTTAGTTTGACTGCAGTTTCAAAGAACTTGCAATTAAAAAATAATTGTAATTATTATGCAATTAAACATTAGTTATTAAACAATTTATTTATTTAAAATTCTCTATTTTGATGCCTTTGAGACCACTTTTTTATTTGCGTTATTTTTAATCAAAGAGTCAATCGTTTTCACTATAAAAATAAATATAAAAATCATTTTAAAATTCACACAAAAAAGTAAATCAAAATCCAATACCTTTTCGGTAGACATTGAGGACAACAAATGTAATTAAAATAGAGGTAATTGTAATTAATATAAACAATATTGCGGTCAATACAGTCATATGAGTGGATGCCGTGAAATTAAATGTCATGCCATCGGATGTGGTATTATTTGTGGACATATTTTATGAGATAAATTTTAATATTACTTTTGTATTTAAATAATTGCAAACTAACTGTTGAATTATAATGTAATAGTTGTTAGCAATCAGTAAAATAATTCAAATTTTTGCATTTAATCTCAATAATAAAAGTTTGTATCATTTATAAAATGTGAATTTATTGTGATTTTAACATTTTATGCTTTATTTATCTTTACATTAAGTGAATGTAAATACATTATAACTTAAAATTATTACAAATTTTAATTAATTTAAGATTTTATTAACAAATAAATTACTATAAATTTTCCAATTGATTCAAATATAACATAAATACCTGTAAATAGCATCAAAACCTCATACAAAAAATACATTAAAAAGCAATTAAACAATTCAAAAAATAAATCTCTAAAATCAGTATAAAATCTAATTATAAAAGCAATTAACATTACTAAAAATAAAAAACAAAAAGTACCATGATAAAAATAACAGCACATAAACTACAAAACTAATAGTGAAAAACTTCAATCACAATGACGTCCACCAAAAAACATCCCAAACTTATGCCTAAATAGCGGACGTAATTGACGGACAGCCCATCACAGCGTAAGTACAGTGCGCTCAACACCCATGCGGTCGACTCACTGTACTATACATTCAGGCATTCATTCATTTTTCAGGCATTTATCAAATAAAGCATTGATTTTCACAACTCATTGACCGACTCTTTGCCAATCAATCATCACTTGAATTGATCCAAAGACCACACAATCACATAATGACAAACACAGTGAACACACATAAGCCCGAGGAGGAGATCAAAGCCGAACAACACGAGGGTATGTATGTCTTGGGACTTGTATGGCATGGGTTTACCACACATGCCATCACTTCCTCCAAGTCTACCATTGAATGATTCATGAATTAATTGATTGTTTGTGTTGTTTATGCTGTGAATAGGTTCGGCGTCGGACACGGACTCGGATGAGAACGAGTCGGACGACGTGCCGGATCTGGTGGGCGATGGAGAGGCCGGCGCCGACGGCAAAGACAAGGCCGGCAACGCTCTCTTCGACGAAAGCGGATCCAAAGCCAAACAGTCGCGCAGCGAGAAGAAGGCCCGCAAAGTGATGTCCAAATTGGGTCTCAAACAAGTAATACATCCATTCATTACACAACACAACAACCACTCATTGAACATATCAATGAATAACACTATTATCCACTTATTGTTGTGTCTGTTGAGGTGACGGGCGTTAATCGGGTGGCGATCCGCAAGTCTAAGAACATCCTATTCGTGATCAACAAACCGGACGTCTATAAGTCGCCGGCGAGCGACACATACATCGTGTTCGGAGAGGCGAAGATCGAGGACTTGTCCCAAAAGGCACAGATGGCCGCCGCAGAGAAGTTCAAGGCTCCGGAGGCGGGCGCCGGCGGACTCGCCAGCGGTCTGGAAGCGGTCGCTGCGGGTATTAATCAGCCGACGACTGCGCCGATCGCCGAAGAGTCCGATGAGGAGCAGGAGTTGGATGAGAGCGGTGTGGAGGCCAAGGATATAGAGCTGGTCACGAGTCAGGCCAACGTACCGACCGGTGGACAGCAGCTGACCATCTATGATGTGCCGAACGAACTTCTGCACCAAATACTGTCCAAATTGGACATAATATCGCGACTAAATGCCGAAAGAGTGTGCACTCAATGGCGAGCAGTCGTGAACGCAATCTTCGTCTCAATACACACCCTATCGATCGACGAGAGAACATATTTGGGCCAAATTGTGTTCACAGAAACGGCCACTAAATGGTATGGAAGCTATTCGTGTCAATTCGAGCCGCAAACGGCTCCAGAAGAAGAGACCTTTCGGCGGGACATATCTCTTGTTGTGGCCAAATATCATAGCATTGACAGTCTTTTCGGCAAATTTCATACCCTTCGCGACGGTCTCATCAAATTGTTGTGCGAAAAGTGCGGACCAAAGCTCCGATACCTCGACATCGAGTCCGACAACGACAACAGCCTTCGGATCACTCGATCGGAGGCACAACTCGTGGCCCAGAATTGTCACGATTTGACCCGTTTTCATATTCGGACCACAAATGGCGTATCGATCGACGAGTCGGACATTGGGTTACTGTTGGAAGGGTTGCCGAATGTCAAGACATTCATATTAGACTTTCCGGTCGCCCAACAATATGGGGGACAAGTGTTTGAACACATGAACGCTGGCGTCGAAGTGATCAACACTTCGGGCCATTTGTTGAACGCGAACGCAATCACCCGATTGATCGCCAAAGGCGTGGATCAGTTGCGATCGCTTACTATTACTCGCTTTGATCCAAACTGTATGGATACGATTGGCCAACACTTCCCGACTATTAAACATTTATATTTAGACCTCGTTTTGGGAGTCGTCGACGACAATGAGTTCCCATTGGGACCACTATTCGCGTCGATATCTCGTCTGGAAAACCTGGAATTGTTGACAATATGTTTGCGCATAAACTGCACAGACATTGACAGCCGAGCCATCGAAGAGCTCAGAGGGTGTCCTAAACTGAACGCATTGAACATTGTTTGTGGATTTCTCGCCGAAGATTGTATGGAAGGGATCGCAAAGTTTGTCCCAAATTTGACTAAACTTAGTCTCGATTGGTGTGAGTTTACGTCCGATGATATGATGGCGTGTTTGGCATCGATTGAAGACATGCGACAGTTGGCGGAGTTGTCGCTGAAGGGCAACAAAAGTGTGACCGACATTGAGTTCCATTGGTTGGTCACAAACTGTCCGCAAATCACTCAAAT